TCCTAGGTCTAAGGTTGGGGGTCTGAAAATTGTAGATTATACAACTATGAGACGAATTTCAATAAGTGTACAACCCCAAACCCCACGTAGGCTCTCACGTACCGCCAAACGAAACATGCACAAGACACAACGATCAACCAAGCTAACAATCACATGCGATCCTACCTGGAACCCATCATGCACGTTCCTACACGTTAGATAACCACACAGCCAACATATCACAGTAAAGCATCACAACCGCGCGCGTACCTCGATTATAAGGCAAAACCTACTTGGGCACGTCCCATACCATGCCTAGCAGATTTTACTCCATAATCGAGCACTACAATATGCGATACAAGCCACACTCACACACGAACTCACACCAGCCTCGATTATAAGGTAAAACCCAGTTGGGCACGTCCCATGCCGTGCCTAGCAGTTTTTACCCCATAATCGCGCACTACATCACGCCATGCGTCCGCTTCCACAATCCTCACACGTCAAGCCAATTCCAGCTCATTCTCAACTTTCCCACCACTATCGTGCCCGCGTAAAACGCATCAGGCCCATGATCTTCTGACTTCTTCAGGGATCGTCACCCCGTCGGGCCGGGAATCGTCACCTCGTCAGGGACGGCATCGTCCCGCATAAACGAACACGCCTCAGGACGGAATCCTACCTCCTCACTTCCTTCTCTACTGCGCCCGCGTAAAACGCATCAGGCCAACGGTCTTCTGACCTCGTCAGGCATCGACACCCCGTCGGGCCGGGCATCGTCATCTCGTCAGGGACGGCATCGTCCCGCGTAAACGAACACGCCTCAGGACGGACCTTTTCCCAACCAACGTTCCCGTACCTTCATTCCACACGTTCCACACGTACCATGCGGCCACACTATATTCAGCCAACAACACGCTCCGAACTAGCCAACAACCACAAACCGAACTACCATGCAATTAAATCCATACAAGCCATAAAACTGCCAATCAGACACACAATTTAACCACGATCGATCCACAACATCACAGCCATATCCGAGCCTTCTAAACCTCGTCTAATCAGTCTCCAAATCAGTCCACAACAACCAATTTCCAGCCTCTATCTAAAACCCAAAATAGCCACTTAATTCACCCTAAACCGAGCCCTAAACGAGTCTAGCAATACCCGAGGTCCTAGGGAGAGTTTGGGGAAGTCACTTACCCTAGAAAGCGAGACAAACAAGGCTGGACAGAGGCTGGAATGACCGGAACAGCAGCAGCCGCCGAACAGGGTCGCCGGCAGTCAAGCGGGCGAGCGGCTGAGCTGCCTTGGGCGGGTGGCTGGTGGGCGGCGATGGGGCGGTTGAGGGTGGTGATCTGGTCGTATGGACCAGGGGAGGACGGCCAGGGGTGGCTCGGTGATGATCGGGCCGATCGGAACAGCAAAACAGAGAGGGAAAGACAGGCGGGCGGTGATGCACGGCTGGGAAGGAGGGGCGACGGCGCGGACGGCTGGGGGGCGGCGGCGACCGGCGGCGGCAAGCTGGTGGCCGGCCAAGGGCTTTACGCACGGGGAGGGAGAGAGAGAGCAAGCCGATCGGTGGGGGGGATGAGGAGAGAGAGAGAGGAAAAAGAGAGAGAAAGAGAGAGAAAAAGAATATAAATAATCTAACCCCAATAATTGCACTCCGGAATTTACTAAAACACCCTTCTAACTACCTTCCGATCCAATGGCCACGATTTAATCTCATCCAGATCCGACAGCCCACGATTGTCCTTACCCAATAATGCAGGGGCAAAAGAGTAATTACTCAAAAAGGAAGAGGGGCAATCCTGTCTTCTTATTTTCGGCCACATAGGATTATTCTCAGTCCCCCGACTTAATCCAGTCCTCAAAATTCGTTCGCGATCCCAGGGGCAAAACGGTCATTTTTCCGATCCCGGACCGAAATCCATTTTTTTGCAGAAATGGGTGGCCCCAAGATTGGCCAAGCCAAAAACGTCATCGGCCGCTCCAAATTGTCACTTTCAAAATTCTCGATTCCTGGGCCCGAATTCCAAGAAATGACTAAAATCGGACAATTGCGACTTTAGCTTATCTCTCGCTAATAGGTGGCTCACTGGAATTACACGCTCTCGACCCGTGACCGACACTAAGTCAAATCACGTTTAAGTTTGCTCGAACCAAGGCGACCTCGATTGTCATATAACTGCGAGGGTCTGTCACTAGTTCCCTGCGGACACGATCAATCAAATAGATCGCTCTCTGTTGGCCCAAAATATTCCCTCGTCAATCCTTATGGTCGAAGGTCGAACCAAGGTCGAGTTCTTTGGTCGTGCGAATTCAATCTCGTAATGGCCTTACCCCTAAGGTTAGCATCCTGTGAATGCGCGGTTCCGGGTGAGATCTCACTATAAGTGCATTGGTCAAAATATTCATTTCATGAATCTCGGGAAAAGGATTGAAAATTCAGACTATTACAAACTAGAAACGCAATTGCATTGTCACTGACCTTCTTGTATACACATGGTTCATCTGGGTTTTTTATGAAGCCAAACAATTTGACTAACTTCATCAAAACGGATGTTCCAATTTCTAGAGGCTTGTTTGAGTCCATAAATGGATTTCTTAAGCCTATACACCTCCCGACTTTCACTATTAGATTCAAAACCCCATGGTTGTTCCATTTAGATGTCTTCCTTGAGAAAACCAATTTGAAAAGTTGTTTTGTCATCCATTTAAAATATCTCATAATCAAGGTGTGTAGCTATAGCCAACATAATTCGAATGGATTTTAGTATGGCTACAGGTGAGAAAGTTTCGTCATAATCGATTTCTTCTTTTTGACGATATCCTCTCGCTACCAGCCGTGCTTTGTAACTTCCAACTTGACCCTTAGCGTTCATCTTCATCTTGAAGATCCATTTATAGCCAATTGGTACAATACCATTAAGCAAGTCAACTAAGGTACGAACTTCATTGGAATACATTAAATCCATTTCGGATTAAATGGCTTATAGCCATTTACTAGAATCGATGTCTGGCATCACCTCCTCAAAGGTGTTAGGATCACTAGGTTGATCACCATCATTCGCAATAAATAATGATTCAATATATTCAAGCAAGTGTCTATAATGAGCTGGTGCACGAGACGTTCTCGCACTCCTCCTAAGAGATTGTGCATCAGAAGCTCCCACTGAATTAGAGATTAATGGTTGAATTTGGTTGTTTGGTACTTCATTGTTCTCTTCTTGCAAGACTATTTTTCACCCAGCAACAACTTCCTGGACAAACTAATTCTCCAGAAAAGAAGCATGCTTGTTGACCAAACTTCTTTGGTGAGAGTGAAAGTAAAAATAGTATCTAAGAGACTCCTTTGGATTTCCAATGAGGCGATCTTATTCAGATCTAGTGTCCAATTTTTCCATTTTCAACTTCTTGACGAAAGCCGGACAACCCCAAATCTTAATATGTTTTAAGACTTGGTTTCGTACTATGCCATTTCTCATAGAGCGTAGTTGAAATAGATTTGGACAGCACTTTGTTCAATAAATATGTAGCTATCTTGAGGGCATATCCCCAAAGGGATCGAGGCAAATTAGTGTCACTCATCACAGACCACACCATATTTAATAAAGTGCAAACATAAACAAAAAGTCCCTATAGCTAATGCAGAAACTCTTGCTCCATTTGTAAATGTCAAGACAATCTCATTTCACCTCAGCCTGCTTATTTCTAGATTCTGCAAAGACATACAAATATGTGGGGTTGTAGCAGAATCTAGAACTCATAAGATGGGGCAAAAGTACACCAGAAGTGCCACAACTTGTGTACGGCGATCACTTTGGTGCCATAACTTTTTTTCGGATCACTTTAGTGCAAAGTCGGAGGAAAATAGATCACTTTAGTGACTTCGACCAAAATTCCAGCCAAAAAGCTGACCTGACATTTATATTAAAAAAAATGGTCTGACTTGTACACGTGGAAATTATGTGGCTTTTTTTCGAATTTTTTAATTTTTAGAAAAATAATAATAATTAAAATAATAATTAAAAAAAAAGTTGCAGCAGCGGCGAGGGAGCCCTCGCCGCTGCTGCCGCCAACCCACCACCGCCGGGAAGGGCCAACAGTGGTGGGCGCAGTGGTCGGTGAGGGTCGCCGGCCCCTGGCCGGCGCCCGGCGAACCTCGCCGAGCCCAACGAGGGCCGGATCCGGCGAGGCGAGACCTCGCCTAGCGAAGGCGAGGCCGACCTCGCCGTCGCCTAGGTCTTGATGGTGAGGTCTCGCCTCGCCTAGCGAAGGCGAGGCCGACCTCGCCGTCGCTCGGGTCGCAACGGCGAGGTCGGCCTCGCCTTCGGGCGAGGCGAGACCTGCCGTCGCGACCCGGGCGACGGCGAGGTCGGCCTTACCGTTGCCTCGGGTAGCGATGACGAGGTCTCGCCTCGCCGGATCCGGCCCTTGCCGGGCTCGGCGAGGGTCGCCGGACCCGGCCGGGGCCGTCGACCTTCGCCGACCACTGCGCCCACCACCGCCGGCCCTTCTCGGCGGTGGTGGGTTGGCGGCAGCAGCGGCGAGGGCTCCCTCGCCGCTGCTGCAACCTTTTTAAATTTATTTATTTATTTAATATAATTTAATTTTTTTAAAAAAGTACACGTCAGCGGGCTAAACGGCGTCGTTTTTGGTTTTTAATGTTGACTGGATCTCTCCGGCGAGCCGTGGACCTCTCCAGCGAGCTGTGTCAGCGCCACATCGGATTTCCGGCGAGCCACGTTAGCATTGGCACTAAAATGATCGTTTTTCAAAAAAGTTGGCACCAAAGTGATCCGAAAAAAAGTTATGGCACCAAAGTAATCGCCGTACACAAGTTATGGCACTTCTAGTGTACTTTTGCTCATAAGATGGATTCAACACTAACCATAAGATTAGTTTCAATAAGCATAGACATCCATACCTTCGCAAGGTTAGTCCTTAGGCTTGACCTTCAAGCTCGTGAGATACTTCTTAGAGTTCCTTTTCCAGTGCCCCTTGACACCATAGTATTAACATTTCCCTTTTTCAATCTTGGGCTTTGATTGTACAATAGGTTTCATAGGCCTCTTCCATTTCTTTTTCTTCAAAACAGTCTTACTCTTTGAAGAAGAAGCCTTAGCCATAGCCACCACATTGGGCCTCGTGTTGTGTATATCCTTCTCATAAACTACCAGTATGCTATGTAACTCAGCAAGAGTTTTCTCCATCTTATGCATATGGAAGTTTTGGACAAAACCAGAGAAGGAATCGGGCAAAGATTGGGGGATCAGATCCATAGCTAACTCCTTATCCAAAACAAGATTAAGCCTAGCCAATTCTTCAATGTGCCAGATCATTTTCAAAGCATGATCATTAACCGATGATCCCTTAGCCATCCTCACATGGTACAATGCCTTAGATATTTGATATCTAGAGGTGTGACCATTCTCATCAAAATATTCTTTTAAGTGCAAGATGATTGATCACTTATGATAAGTGGCGTGATGATGACTTAAAAGCTAGGTCATATATGCTTGCTTCGATATATAATGAATTACAGAAAAAGTACGAAACTATGGAAGATGAAGTCTGGCATCTTTTCATCAAGTACATACCCGAGTTTTTGTAAATCGAGAACAATTCTCAAATTCCTCACCCAGTCAGTGAAATCGGGTCCAATCAAACAATTCTTGTCAAGTATAGAAGCGAGTGGGTTTATGGTCACCATTTTCAGAGTAATAATATAACTGTGCAGAAAATAAATTGTTAACCGTTGTCTTTCAAAATAACTATTTCATTTTGGCCTTTAAATGAAATAGATCCTCCCACTAAATTTATTTTTGAGTCCCATACTCCTTAAAATGAGAAATGGTAATCGTCATTGAGTAAAGATTGTAGTGGGGATTGGAGTCTCACCAGCCTATAGCCCACCTCACCTGATAGTTATTGGTGTTTTATGAACTTAGTGAGTGAACCAATTTGTTCAACGCATCATATGCAAGTCCCAATCATAACTTCGGCCTCTAGACCATAAAAATCTCACCTGATAGTTATTGACATCATGATCATAGTTAAGTCTAGCCCATTATCTCATGCAAGTATTGAAAACACAAACAATCCCCTCACCTGACAGTTATCGGAAATCATTTGACTCCAACCCCACAGCATCACATGCATAATGGAGTGGTATGATATTATGAATGGCAATTGACCCCTATCTATCCGTAGCCGATCAATCAACCACTATAATGTTGGACCAAACCACAACGATGGAAGGCCACGAGTCCGAAACCCATTTAGACTTAATACAATTAATAAGGAGATTTGTGTCATTATTAATGGTCTCACTTTACACATTAACCGGTTTAACATGCATAACAAAAGAAACAAAAAAAATAAATAGATATCAAATGCATAAATATTTATCCTATGTAGTGATCATGTAATTATGGCTCAATGGGGGTCTCGAGCCAATGAGCCCCTTTTAGCCATTTTAAATTTTTATTAATAGAGACATGATGTTCACTTCTTCTTGGACCAAGCCCATAGAGCTCTTCGGCTTAATGGTTCCTCATCTCGTAACATTTACATCAACAATTGATTATACTAAACTATACTAAAAATACATTACATGAAAAATAAAAGGAAGGATGCGGTCTTCATTTAATAATTACAACCCCAAAAATACCTGTGAATATCATATATTCATCCATACATCAATCATATTGATTAGGGGTTTTCCATGATCACCACCTTTCCTTGCAAGCCATTAATTCAAAATTTAAAACTTTGGAAGGCACAAATAAAATTATGCACTAAATCAAATTCATGGTCGAGCAACGCAAATTGTGTCAACAAATCAAAGCCAGTGAAACAAATTTCACAAGCATGATTCCAAGCGGTAGCAGCGTTGTCGCCTCTAGATTCAAAATCGTGAATCATTTTGCCGAAGACAAACACAAAATAAAACAATCTACAGATTTTTTATTCAAAATTGATTTAGTTCCAATTTTTGCTTTGTCGATCAAATTTATCATATAAATTAATCAACTTCTATAGGCCACTTATGAGCAAGCAATTCTCTTAACAAAAGTAAATTGGCCATTGGATCGCAAAATATATGTGAACCAAAATCAATTAAATGCACGAAAACACCTAAGGATTGGCTCTAATACCACCGTTGGTGTTTACAGAACATGCATAGTTAAATTAAAATATAAATGCAGCATAAGTATGAATAAAATCAAAATCATACATGTATCTCTAAAGGCGTTATTCGTGCATTTTAATAAAAAATCAGAAGAACATAGGGAGTTAAATGGATTACCTCTCTTAGCATCCCCAAAACAACTTGGTTTGGATGTTCTTCAGTTCGAGCCTCATAACCGTCGGACCTCTAGTTCAAACATACCACCAAATGCACGTCGAACGGAAGAAAGAACTTGCGGATAATCACCACTATAATTATGCTAACAATCTCGTGGCGGCAATTATCCATATTCTTGATGTTTCAGTCATGGCACCAAAAGAAAGAAAAACCTTTTTAACTATCACTGACGCATGCTGTATAATTGCACTTCAAGCAACTGTTGCTGATCACCCTTTTCTTATGTGCGATCAGCAACAATTGTTGATCACACTGCACACTGCACATAATCAGCAACGGTTACTGATCAAGCACACGGTCAACAACATTTGCTAACCGTGTGCTGCGGACGGTCAGCAAGTTGTTGACCTATGCGTGCACATTTAATTTTTTTTTAATCATTTCATTTTTTTAATTTTAAATGATTAAAAATAATAGTGTATAATTAGCATGTGTGCATTTCATTTGCATCATATGCACGCAAGTCCATGACCAAAATAAAATAAAATCCCATTTAGTTTAATTTCAGCTCGACTAATCAATTATTGTGATTACAAACATATTTGCAATATAGTCTCTCCCGTTCAACGTCATCCTAAATCGGTTATAGTGTGTGACATCTCTAGGTCCATCACTGAGCGGGTAGTAAAACTTGCACTAACTTAGTACTCCTAAGAGAATTGATTGTCCCAATCAACCTCTAAGTCTTACAAGCCATGATTGACATCTAGTAATATGTCATGACTACCTAAATAGTGTGAATGCTTTAAGAACATAAGCTGTCAGCTTTAGTTATAGTGTAATTCAATTCCTCTGCCTTACCATGTCCCGATCGAATAAAGACCATGGAATATTTGTCAAGCCACCAATTCGATCATATGCACAAACTTAATTGACGTGCATTTTATACGATACATGAATAGTTCATTCTCGGTTACAATCTCGGCCGAGGATTTCAATGCGGTGTCATGATTATATAGCATAGGACATCATTATTGTACCTTGCAGGTAACAAGGAGGTAGATTCCATTTTGCGCACATGTGTAACTTCATATGTGAACGAACTATGACCATCAAGTATAGAGACAGCTCAACAAACCGGCAATATGCACACCTGTGAACCGCAACCATCCAACACACAAGTCAACACTATGCATTAGATCTAAGGATTATTTACACAAGACCAGAGCATGAACGATTAGACATTGACCATGCTAAAAGCTTCTATGTTGCTAATCATTATATGCGTGTCACGTTTGGTGATCTTGTTTGGTACAAGCATCTGTGTTCTAACTTGGGCATCATAATGCCCTATGACTCGTGACTCGTCATTCTTATAAGTATCAAATGATGAAGTTAAGAACACACCAGTCTCAACGGGACATTAAATATCCACTCAATGATCCATCGACCGGAAACAATTTAAACATTTAGTTTAACTGTGAACCCATCACACATATTCTCAATGTCACAAGAATAAGTCTAGTCATAACCAATCTTATGAAATCATTCATATATATAAATAATTGGACAAATGAATGAATACGTCCTTACCATTAAAAAAATTATGAAATTAATAGTACAACTTAAATCTCTAACACGTAACTAGGAAAAATTGTCTAAAAAGTCTTAAACATATTGCACTTTTGCCAATTCAATCTTAAACCTTTTCAGTTCTTGCCAATTCAGTCATAAGCCTTTTCACTTCTTGCCAATTGAGTTCATCCGGCCAATTTTGGCCGGTCGACGCTGATGTGGTCGGCCGTCCGACTAACGTTGACGTGGTAATTTTTAATATTTTTTTCAAATTTTTTAATTTTTTTTCTACCTTCTTCCCTCTGGCCAGTCCGGCGACCGACGACCGGCTAGAGGGAAGAAGGCAGAAAAAAAGAAAAAAATATTAAAAAATTCGGAAAAAAATATTAGAAAATTGTCACATCAGCGTTATCCGGACAACCGGCGCCGGCCGACGACCACGTCAGAGCCGACCGGCCAAAATTGGCTAGATGAACTCAATTGGCAAGAAGTGAAAAGGTTTAGGACTGAATTGATAAACTTAAAAGGTTTATGACCGAATTGGCAAAAGTGCAATAGGTTCAGGACTTTTTGGACAATTTTCCCCACGTAACTATTACATGGTTTCTTTAGGGCATACATCCAACAGAGACCTACCTTGATTAGGCTCTTCAGTGAGCAACAATGAGTAACGTCGAAGCATTGAGATTCTGGTGACTAATGGAGGTGTCAACCGCCATGGCAAGGTTGGCAACACCTTAAGGGTACTGGTTGTAAGTCACGACAGGCGGTAGGTGATCGGAATTAGGTTGGCAAACAGTCGAATTTTCACCGGAGAGAGAGGTGCCATGAGAGAGAGAGAGAGATTTTAGAGAGTATTTTTGTTCAAAATTTTGTAAGAGTGAATTGTGAGCTATGGATGGTTGGCCAAGAGGGAAAATGAGAGGGAAAATTGGAGGGAATTTTGAAAATGACTTAATCTTAGCCCTACTACACCTCATCATGTGATCAAATGGCTATAGTTCAATCCTTAATGAGCAAGCAATGATCCTATTTGCTCTTACTAAGACACATGGATGGGGGACATGGCGCCATCTATGGTTAAGATTAAGTGAAGAATGGATGGCCATGATTAGGGATCTCAAGGTTTGGTGCATGGAATTAATTTTTTATAAATTTGAAAAAATGGGAATTTGGTAATTAGGGGAGGAGGGGGCCGGCCAATGGGTCTTATGGGCTGCAATTGTTTGACTTTTGTGTTGACTTGATTGACTTGAGTCAACCATGATCAAACCAGGTTGACCCAAATTCACCCCATGGCTCCCAATTGTCTTATTTTCTTTTAAATCACTCTATGGGTTTGGCCAACTCCTCTTGTTCGCAAGTTTGATGCTCCTTTTCTTAGATTATCCTAATTGCACCCAGTTTACTATTGAAATTGAGTTTATTTGGCTTAATGGGGGTTGATAAATGTTAATCATAGGCCTAAACTTGCGTTCAAACGTCGGCCGACTC